TTGTCAGCCTCTGCAGAAAAAATCCCATGTAGTTAGTCTTGCATTCCACCCATAGAGACAAGTCCCTTTCTGGAAAAATTCAGAGTCAAGGTTCTTAGTCTGGAAAAAATTTGGACTAGAGAATAGCCAGACACTCAAGCAAGAAATTTATCACCGGGTAGAACTCTCCTTTTACTTGCTGACTTACTGAGTAACATTTATGAAAATAAACTTAGCAGAATACACTGCATGTTAAGTTATCAGAATGGATGCTGCCTGCAGGCTATTGCAGTCATTCTTGCTGACATTATCCTGTTTCTATCAGATTGGCTGTGTAGCTCCCAGTGTTTTGTGCTAGAGTTCGCCTTACAAGAGGAGTTCTTGCCAAAAGGAAGCTGGAGAACAGTAAGGCAGGACGTCAACAGAGGGGCATCACCTCCAGCAGTGTCTGCTGCTCTGTTGGGGGGGTTGTGTTTGTGTCAGTGCATGTAATGAAAAAGATTGTACTTGCTGGTCTCAGGCAGCCCCTGCAGCAGAAAATTTGAGGTTCTCTGTAATGTTCAAGGCATGTGATTCCTGCCCTTCAGGTTAGTGCCCATCAGCTGATTGTGTCTGCCTAGCTGTTTTCAAGCTGTAGGTGTTGCTGCACTGCAGCTGAGAGGTGCAGGCACATCCTGCTGAGGCCTACCAGGCTGGTTTTAATCTAATTAGCTTGGATAACAATGTTAGTGAAGATGTGATGGAATGAGCTTCTGTAAATAAATGTATGCTGATGTAAAAGCCTGCTAGGAATCATCAGGACATCCCTGGGTGGCCAGCAACAACAATGTACAAATCTGAAAACCTCTTCCCAAGGGCTATTGAGGCAATGGCTTGGCAGTTGCTTCAAAGCCCCAAATCATCCCACTGATAGTTTATAGTTTTCCCTGTAAAACAATTTGAAAATGTTATATAAGTTAACTGCTTGTCAGGAGAACATTTTAGCTGGAAAAAAAATTTTAGTTTTCTCCCTGGGGTTTCCTAGTCTTTAAAGATTTGCATGCATGGCTATCATGACTACAGCCAATCTCTGTGTTGTCTGCCTTCATCATAACAGTCACATCACTGTTCTTACTGCTGCATACAGGGTTCCAGTACTGGTAGTCTGAGTATCACCTGTGTGTGTTCTTGAATGGTAGAAGATGAAATTAGCTCAGGGTTACTGCACGTTCTTTTTTGAAGAGGAGATGGCCCACTGGTGTAAGGAGAAAAATTAGAAAATTAACGCAGAAGTAGGAAAGTTAATTGGAAGACAAAGCTGGTTACTGAACCAAAGGACATAGACTTTTAAAGCTTTAAAACTCCAAGATAGTTGTAAGAGGAAATAGTAAATTAAAAGTAGACAAACAGTATAGGAAAAAGATTTATCTTTTTAAATAAGAAAATATTCTTGGGGTGGAGGCAAAGATGGTTGAAAAGCATGTGTTTTCTCAGTCTACAAGGTTCACGCTTCTGATACAGCTTTATTAGTCCTTTAATCTGTGGATAAGCATTACTGGATAGGAACATCACCCCTTATTTATTAGTCCTATAATCTGTGGATAAGCATTACTGGATAGGAACATCACCCCTTACTTTTCCACTTGTATGGCTGAAAGACCAGAAGTTGGCTGCAGCAGCATAAGAAGCAGAAGCCAGCATCTCTCTGGTTACAACCCTTACACTTTAACTGGGCCAGGATATCTGCTCTGTGGACAAGCCCAGGTGCTGCTATTCCAAACATCAGTGAATATTTTATTAGGGATGCACAGGGAATAGCACTCACAGGCTCCTCCACAAGTCAGGGATTGGCAAGGCTCAGTGAGTACTGGGAAGACACCACCCTGATCAGGGAATCATTCACATAACATTATGTCCATCTTGCCCCTGCTTGAACTGAGAGAGGGGCAGTTGGGTTTCTTGGGCTTGGAGACAAAATCCTGGATGCCCTGGTTTGCCCAGTCCCTTCATGTACAGTAACAGAGAACAGAGAGGTGCCTTGTGTGCAAACATGGGATGGGAGTTAAGGAGTCTCATTTCCTGCCTTGTTTTTTCATCTGTACACCAGGAAACAATATTGTTTATTGACCATACAGGGTGTTGTAAGGCTAAATTCATTCATGTTTAAAACCCTTTGCTAAAAGGTTTCCTAGAAGTATGAAGAATAGCTATTCATTATCTATATTTTTGTCACTTTTTATTTATGCCCTATCAGTTCTTCTGCAGCTTTTTCTTCAGAATTATTTGCCTTATCTGCATGAAGAAGAAACTGATAGCAAGTAATGATTGCATAAAAAGTAATGTTTGAAAAGTCTGGTCTAAATTTATTCATTTCAAGTGTACTTCCTCACAACTAACATGTATATGAAACTTCTTGATCAATGTATTTTCTTTGGTGACTTAACAATATGGTCTTTCCTTCTTTATATACTGTTTAAGGTATCCACAAGCTAACACAAATGGACAGGAGCATGCACTTCTGCTCTTACAATTAATTTGACTTCTGTATCTTTGATTGTATTTCCTATTTGGTCTATTTCAATCCTATTCCTCTCTTGCTGACTTTTCTTCTATTCGACAGCTTTTATTTCTCTTCACCCTTCAAGAATCCTGAACCCACCAATGAAGAATCATTTGTATACACTGTCATTTCTATTTGCTATTTTCCTTTTTTTTCCTCCCCCAGTGAGACAGGGCAGGCAGTGTGATGTGTGGGTATCAGGACAGTGCACCTCAGGTACACTGGAACATTTGACTTCACCTTATGTCATTTCTAGGATGTATTTTCTTGCCCTTAGCCCTGAGCCACAACAGGAATTTGGGTGGATTTTGCCACATTTCTGCAGCACTGTGTAGCTGAAGTGCTTCCAGAGCATCTGTTGCTACTGTTGTGTTCAGCAGCCTGCTGGAAGTGTGGGCTGTGAAGTAGCTTATCTAACTCCCAAATACTGGCTTGTCTGAAACTTCGGATAAGAATTGATTTATATGTATGTATCCAATCTGTAAAAAGTGGTGTCACTGCAAAAAATGAAATTATAGGTTGCATTTTAGGTAAATTCTATGGTGTAATCACTTCAGATGAGTTCAAAGTGCAGTTTCCTGTACTTGCTTCAGTATTCCCATTTTTTCTGCTCCTTACTGTTTCTTAGATGAATTAGGATTAGCTTTTCTATGCCTCATTGCTGTACCCTAGTAATTTCCTGAATTTCGAAAATACCATTGGAAATGTCTTTGTTAAATATAATAATAAGCTATTAAGATAGATTATTCAACATGCTCAAGTCAAAAGATATTTACAATCATCAAACTGCAGTGAATGAATGGATTTTGTAGGAAGACAGCTTGTTCATTGGAATTTGTTGAGCTCTTCAGAATAAGCCAAGTTGAAGAAAAAATATATACTCAATGACTTTGAATTTATAAAATCTGAAGGGCTTCCTGATGAGTGCAAAATATGATTTTCTCTGGTCTGTTTGCAGTTTAGACCATTAGGACAAAGATTGACTGTAAATGCTAAGAGGAAATTTTCTGAGTCCTGACCCATGATTCTGCTTTGGAAGGAGATGGGAAAATAGATTTAGAAATTCTGACACTAATTCTGGGCTGAAATTAAATGCTGATCTATTCAATCTTACTATTGCTCTGTTTCTCTAAAAATCCTACCCTGAAATGACTGTGAAGTTTCCTAATATTTATAATATGTAATAGAAAACTAGTGGCTAGATTGTGATCAGAATGTGTCCCACACGTTTCCAGGTTCCTCTTAGACCTGAGGGGCGTAGCAGCAGGGACTGGCAAGTGTCTGTGTCCCTGCTTCCACACACCAAAGTGGCTTGAAAAGAAACTCATTTTATCTGCTGACAGAGGAGCATTGCTTAAGCCAGGAAATGAGTCAGGATTTCAGAGAACCAGCTGAGCTCCTGGGTGCAGTGGAACATTTTCCTTTTGCCACTGAGCACCGTCGCCTCCAGCTGCAGGAATGGGGGCTGGTGCTCTCCAGCCCAGAGTCCGCAGCGGTGGAAGTGCTGTGCTCCAGGCGTCATTTTGTGTTTTGCTTATAGAAATGGAAAATGTGATGATGGCTCATTTTGCTGAATTTGGACATGGGCATGAAGGATGCCAATTCCATGAGATCCCCTGGGATTTCTAGGTAGCCTAATGATGCTGCACTGTAAAGGTGCTGCTTTCAATGGCCTTTAACCAGTGAAAGGCTGAGGAACTCTGTGCTTTCTGTCTTACAATACAAGTCTTTACAGAAAGACCAACACTTTTCAGATCCTGCTGAAGCCTTGGAAGCGCTCACATTTTAATGCAATTGCAAGGCTGGGTATTAAAAGAGTGAAGAAAAGGCATATTCAAAACCCTCCCGATTTCTTCAGATTTTTCCCTGTGGAGAAATAAACCAAAACATTTTACCAAGTGGAATGCCCCTTTTCTCTTTGGTTAACTGAGCTTCCTTTCTTTTGTCATGTGGGAGACGTGAAAAAGTTTGCCCCTTTTCTCTTTGGTTAACTGAGCTTCCTTTCTTTTGTCATGTGGGAGACATGAAAAAGTTTCTGTGATTTCACTGAATTTCCCTGGTAGCATTTGTATGTTAAAGTCAATAAAGGTGCTTTGCCCGAATATTTTTAATTAATGGTGCTTTCATATTTAATAACTATTAAATATAAATATCAAGGTGAGTGGAATAACTTCATTTAGTATTTAGGTTCTGGCATTAGACAATTCTTTGTTTTTCATATTGCTTCAATATTGTCTACATTTACTGAAATTATAAACCAAGTGTTTGTTAAAAATGGGTCGATATAAATATTAAATATTAAGCTTTCTGCTCTTTGCTTCATAAGTACAGTTCTTATTGTGACAATACTTCATTCTTTGCTTTTATGGTTTTAGGGACTTGTTTAATATTTTAGCAATATTTTATTCCCAAAATACTTCAAGAATGTACAATTATTTAAAAAGTCAGGCAAGTTAAAATATCAGTTATTATCTCTCAACAGATTTTACCTGATTAGTGGTGGAGTTCCATTCATTATATGTGGGATTACAGCAGCAACCAATATCAATAATTATGGGATTGAAGGCAATGCACCATAGTAAGTATAAGCTACTATCATAAAACTTATAAGGAAGACAGATTCTGTTTCTTATCCAAATAAATGTAGCTGACTTTATAAAGGGTACAAGCATGCAATTTGGGGTGACATCTGTTACAAAATTTTATTAAATATTAGCTGTGAAAGAGCAATGTCTTAATCTGGAGCTTGCTGCTTCACCTCCACTAATTTGACTCCATTACTGGCGGTACAATTACCTTTCATTTACAGATTTGCTCTCCATTTACATCTGAATAACTGAAAGATATTAAAAATACCTGATGAATATCATATCTAGTGCAGCTATTAATTATTTAAATATTTTCATTTAATTTTCAACCCTGATTTGATATCCTTCTGGCAACTTAGAGCAATTTAAAAGTAATGATGTAAGAAAAGGACAGGTAAAAATCTCTTCCCCACTCCCTCCACTCCCATCCCTCCATAAAAACCCAAATATTTTGGATTTTCACCACCTGGAAATGTTGCAGTTATAATGTCTGTCAGTCCTATCATAATCCTTTTGATATGATATTTGTCCTTGTGAGTAGGTAGGTGTTTCAGTAGACCTCCACAAGCTCACCAGGCATCAGAGTGTCATTAATTCCTAATTCTTGGCATGAAGCATGAGGTATCCATAAGTACAGTAAGTCTTTCCCTAAAAGCCTAGCAGAAAGTGAATTAGACTGCAAAGTTAAATACAGTGTGTGTAACAGATCAGCATGGCAGTGACTGGCACACTAATGGATATTTTAGTACTCTGGCAGCACTAATGCTCTAGAGGACATCACTCTTAGTTACTGCTTTGAGCATCTATTGTAACACATTTGAAACTGGTTGTGTTCTGGGCACGAGAAGTGGCTACCAAGGAGAATGGTTCATAACTGAGCATCTGGCTCCTTAAAGACATTTTTATAGGTAATTGAAATTTAAATTCCAGTAAGAAATCAGTGCATACCATGGCTAACAGTATGCTTTGCCTAGGGCACAGCTCATATTTATATATTTATTCAAATTTATCCAATTAAACAACCAGCTTATAATCGACAGTGTATTATAAAGCTCTATTATTTATGTTCATAGATATAAGACATTTTTCATTTTGGTGCAGTTACTGGGGTTCTACTTCTTTAATCATATTAATGTAGAAAATCAATACCTGCTGCCACCGTGTGCACAGAAAACAAGGGACAGATGAGGAATGGTTATAAGAATGAGTAAAAAGCTTCTAATTCAATGGCAGCACAGTGAGTTATGTGCCTTATTCATTTTTTATGGTATTAGTAAAGTAAATATAGATGCACAAACTTGAACTTTTTTTTACAGAATGGATTTTGTAAGTGATCCACAATGAGATTCTACTTGAAATAACAGCATCCCATGAGACTGTTCCACTCGGGAGCATTCCACTCTCCACTTTGCATCAAATATGCAGCATTCAAATGTATTTCAAGTATTCACGTAGCTTTGTGTTCTCTGCTTACCCAGTTAAATATAGGTGGTAATTTACCTATGTTTTCACAAATATCTTTCAGGGAACCTTTTCTTGTGCCTGCCTAACAGTAAATTATATAGTCATTGGAGTGTTTCTAAGTTCACGTGGGCATGTTTCTGCTTAAGGTTCAGATTTCAAAAATTCAAAGTCATTATTCTGCAGTTTCTTGCTGTAAAACCCCATGGGACTGTCTCTATTTAGCTGAGAGGTTCTCAGCCTGGGAGAAAAAGTCATTCTACCCTTTTTATAGTAACTTGTAGATAATTCCTGCCTAGACAAAAATCTGATATCAGAAGTTTCCTCACTGGAACTGGAGGAACTGCAACTAATCACACACGCCTAAATGAATATGAAGTGTCACACAGTGTCACTTTTAGAGCTGGAATCATCATGACAGATCACCTGGTCTGTCTTTCTGACCCAGTGGGAAATTAGCTATATCCAAACCATTCCTGACAGTTATTTATCTGAGGTACTTTAAATGTTCCTGTAATGGATAGACCACATTTCATTCCAACAGCTTATTATCCTAATTGTCCTAACAGCTAATAAACTTTTAAAAAAATATAATTTAGATCTTTCTTGCTGCAGTTTAGGCCCATTACTTCTTGTCCAAGTCCAAGAGATAAAGTAACTTATTCCTCTTTCCAGAAATCCATGGAATATTTAGGCTATAAGAACCTAGTAGCAGCTATACTAGGCTATCCTGCCTAGTATACAGTTCTCTGGCTGTAACCATGGCTAAAAGCAGATCATAGAGAAGACTCAAAATGAGGCAAATATTCCTTTTCCCTCTAACCCATGTTTTGCCAGTTTCCATCAAGGATTAGTGTTTTCTTCTCCCATGTTTATTTGATCAGATCATTCGTACTTAAGCAGTCCTCTCATTCTCATGCTGTGAGCTACTTTAAGCTGCTCTAAAACAGTTATGGTTATATTATTTAAAGCCTAGAAAACCATAATCATGCTACAATGGTACTATGCTACTAACATATCACAAAGAGACCATCAGTTTCCCTAATTTTTCTGAGGACATTCAAATTGACATGGATGAGCTCCCAGGAACTTTAGAGACAGTGCAGAATTCAGAAATGGCACATATCTTTGAGGTCTGCTTACTGCTGAAAGCGGTGACAGTTCAACTGGAAGTCTTTTTTCAGCTTCTCTTGGTACTCAGGCTGTTCTCTGGAAAGAAGAGAATTCTACAAGAGAAGTCTCCAGGCTGAAGAATTTGTAGCAATGTTCATTGATACAAACCACTGAAATCTGTACATTTCTATTGCTCACACAGAGTGTATAAACTGTGCCTCATTTGCTTTTTAATCAAAGTATTAGTGCTGACATTTTAATAGTAGAGAAAAGGGTCGACATAAATGGTCTTATACTTCATTGCAATTCCGGAGTCTAAACTGACCTACATTTCTTGGAATTTTTCAGTTTTAATAATCTGAAAATTATACCATATATTCTATTCAATTAAAAAAATTAGGAAGTGATGCCTCAGCTTAATTAATATTAAAGACAGGCTCCCTCCCTCCACAAGTTGAACTTCTGAGATACTGTTGTGTCACGCTAGTCAGACAACAGCCAGTTGCCCATCACATCTAATGTGGGCTCTGAAATGTTCTTGACTCTCTCTTCTTGTTGTTTTCAGTTGCTGGATGGCCTGGGAGCCCAGTCTCGGTGCGTTTTACGGGCCGGTGGCATTCATTGTGCTGGTGACCTGTGTTTACTTTCTCTGCACGTACGTGCAGCTGAAGCGCCATCCTGAACGCAAGTACGAGCTGAAGGAAAAGACAGAAGATCCGCAGAGAATGCCAAGTACTGACGTGGGCCATGGTCACATTACAGACCCTGTGTCCGTTCCCCAGGCAACCTGCCCCATGATTTCTTCTTCCTTATTGGAAAATGAGCATTCCTTTAAGGCTCAGCTTCGAGCCGCAGCATTCACTTTGTTCCTGTTTACTGCCACTTGGACCTTTGGAGCGCTCGCAGTATCTCAAGGGCATTTCTTGGATATGATATTTAGCTGTCTTTATGGAGCCTTCTGTGTGACCTTGGGGCTTTTCATCCTGATCCATCACTGTGCAAAGCGAGATGATGTGTGGCATTGCTGGTGGTCCTGCTGCCCATCCAAAAGAAACACCTACTCTGTGCAAGTCAACGTGCGCCCGAAGGTCAACGTCAATGGCGACACTCAAGTTCACGCACCTTGTCTGCAGGAATCGCCGTGCCCCAACAAGTCAGCTGTGTTTAATCACCCAGCAGCGAGCCACTGCAAGCTCACTAACCTGCAAGCGGTTCAGAACCACGTTAACTGCCTGTCGCCCGTGACACCTTGCTGTGCAAAAATGCACTGCGATCAGCTGCTTGATGACGAGGCTCACATTCACGTCCACAACGAGGGAACCTTCAGACCCAACATGCACATTCACAGATGTCTGAAAAGCAGAACTAAGCCACGTTACTTCAGTCGGCACAGGTCAGCAGGGGAGAGAGAGTACGCCTACCACATCCCCTCGAGCATTGACGGCAGCATCCACAGCTCGCACACAGACAGTCCCCACAGCACACACGAGAGCCAGGCAGGGCACAGACGGGCCTGCTGCTCCAAGAGCGATCCGTACCCCACCGTCAACCAGCCCGAAAGCAGCGACGCGAGTACTGTAATATACAGCTGTGCTAAAATGCCAGACAGTGACACTGTGCACCACCCAGCTCACTTTGAAATGCACCCACGGACACAGTCATTGCCATTTAATACAACAAATCACAACGGAATTCTCAAGGGAAACATGCATGAAGCCATGATATACAGCTCAGATAGTACAGGAAATATCAAAACTGGCCCTTGGAAAAATGAAACTACTGTGTAGTTCGTGGGCCATCATCATGTGTGGGGTTTTTTTTCCCTAGACCATCATTATCTTTGTTTTTATTCCAAAATAAGTATGGTGATACGTTTGCATAGCTCATCAGTAAATTGTACAGGTTTTCATTTTCTTTGTAAGTGTCAAAAAGAGAGGGATAGTGACAGTTTTAAAGCGAAATTATTTTTAAAAGGAAGTTACATAATTATTCTGAAAGATAATGAGAAAATGAAGTCTAGACAATTGAATAAGAGAGGCAATATCCTTTTGTTATACAGAATGACATTTCTTTAAAAACATCATTTCCATTCATTGTTTTCACTTTTTTTCTTTAGTAACTTCAGACACTTTTTATAAACATATCAGCATCTTAAACTTTTACTTATTTATTTTTGTAGAAAAATATTATTACTGTGCCATGGATTTTAATCAGAAGTGGCTATGGTAGAAATGATAAACATGATTTTATAAAATTGCAGCTTTTTAGATATACAAAAGTGATACTGCCTCTTAAAACCTTCTGTAGCATATGGCCTGTAAAGTCATAATGTACAGTCTCTGTTCTGTCCTTTTTCTTGTTGGAGAGAAGTGCTAGGTAATGTCTCTGTTACATCCTTGGTGCTGTATTGGTTGTATTTTGCATGACATATGTCAGGATATACCATTTGCTGTTTTCTAGTGTTACATGTGTTTAAAAAAAAGAACAAAAAAAAGTGTGGTACAAGGCTGTGAAAAACCCTATTGATATTAATCTAGAGCATTATAAATCTACAGGAAAAAAAAAATCACTCTGCACTAGTTTAAGTGGCACAATCCTTTGTATAAGGTTATATGATAGCTTTGATAAGGGTCCACTCTAATGTCTTTACGGAGCATGCACTACTCATTGTATGTGGCACTGTGCGGTGTAATAGCAATTGTCTCAATAAGTTTTACACTTCTTTGTAAAGTATGCCTTTTAAACGAATCTGTAAGCTGTTCCACGGTAACCTTCCCACATCTGTTAAGGTAGAGCAGTTTTACCATTAACTCTTTGAGGACTACAGTTATTTTCTTAAAGTAGCTTATTCTAGTTCAGAGATACTGTATATATGATATTGTCTATTTAGTTACATGATCAATGTAGTCCAGAGTTGCCAGGAAAGAGGAAGTTCAGTAATTTTCTAAAAACACACCTTCTTAATTTCTAAAAACACACCATCTATTAATTTCACTACTTGCTTTCTGAAAACCCATTTCCTCCCCTAGCAAAATTCACATTGTCTTAATGCTTTAATGCAAATTTGACCTTCAGACAACTTCTTTATGTTCATGATTTCTGCTGAATTGTAGGGCATTCCAGGGTCAGTAACATTCTCTATTAACAAGGTTCTTGGCAAGATTTTTTTCATGTTTCCACGAACATCTGGACACAAAGCATCAACTCACTGTACAGAACTGCATCAGAATGATCACTGTAAGAAACAAAACTGCTTTTTACAAGTAGGGAGGGTGCAGAATAATAATAGATTTCAGAAAGTGAATGGGAGCATAGAGCTGTGAGGAAAATGTCTACAGTGGAAAGTGCATGCAGAAATGAGAGAAAAAGCAGAAATTCTGTATGTTCTCTATTCCCATTCAGAGGTTTCCTCCCAGATTTGCCCTAAACAAGGACAGCCACACAAGAAAGTTTGCTATGTTGTCTCCACACAGACTTATGTAATTGCTGCAGGGAGGAAATAGAAAATTCCATTGAGAGACCATCAGTCTGCGATTCTTTGTGTCTATGTGGCAGAAATCTTGACCATACTTCAGCCCCATATTTTTCTGTTATTAGCAGTTTATTAGACTCTACCTTCTTTTTTTTTTTTTTTTGAATATGTAGGAATAAATTTCCTAATAGTGTACATAAAGATGACAATTATAATTGTTAGAATGTTATAAAAACATGTAAGTCAGATGAATGTGTTCTGCAGTGTTGCAGGTGGGAATTAGTACTCAAAGGGTTAATGCTCAGTATCTGAGTGCAAGAAATCTTGTTTTTCTGTATTTTTGTAAATTTGAAATATATATTGTAAACTCCAGCAGTGCAATGTATCCATCTCAGATTGTGTATTTTTAAAAGGTGAGCAAGAAGAATGCACTAGGTGGTTGTCAAGTTTTAAGCCAATATTCAAGAGTTTCATGACTGCTTCTTTAGCTAATACAAAAAAAAAAGACAAAACACTGAGCTTTATTATGTATATGCTGTATATGCTTGAACTGTCTCTAAACTAAAATACAGTATTTTTCTTTGTTTGCATACCAAAATATTTTCTGTTTCATAATTGGTTTCTTTTAATATTACTTTTACTCATTCCACATAGACAGTGAGCCCTAAATAAGCATAGAGATAATGTGAAATCCACTTCTCTGTGTCTCAGCACTATGTATATGTATATTCTGTAAAATTGTAGGAAGTCTGTGGACCATTATGCAAAATATCACACACACACAGAGCCAAGATGAAATACTCACTCTGCAAGAATCCACTCAGTAAGCTCTGTTATTCAGCTTGTGTTTTAATCACCTCTGTTATTTTGTCTGAGAGGCCAATTCCATCTTCATAATGGCTTACAAAAAAGTAAATAGGTGCTGCTTTCCACAGAATATCTTACGTGATAAAACTCTCTGGAATTCAAACGTAAAATATTAAAACACTTTTCTTATTGTGTTAAAAATTAATTTAGTAAATATTTCTGAGCTAAATTGGAAGAGATGTGTTATGCAATAATCTGTTTGCACATTATTTTTTCAGAAAATAGACAGTATATCTACAGAGTAGGAGACATGATATTAAATAAATATAAAAATGTTTTGTAACATCAAAATTGACCAAAATGCTTTTTATGCTTTTGACTTTTTTTTTTTCCCCTTAAGATAAATGAGATCATTTCAATGCTTTGGAAGTCTGGTTTTGATTTATTGTGGGGTTTTGGTCAATTATAGTCAGTGAACCATTACTATTTTACCTGATTTTCTTCCCTATAAAAATAAAGCAAATGAAATAACCAGAGTATAAGAGATATATTGTCCTAGTAAATTCCTCACGGACACACCTAACATATTTTAAAATCAGTTTTCATTTTGGTGATTCATTGATAATAAAAAAAAAATGGTTGAACAGATTTTACTGTTCACTTTCTGTCCAAGATTAAGCAATAGGAATTTCACCCAAAAAAAATATAATTTTCGGGGAATGATGCAATCAACAGAAATCTGAATAGCTGCTCCCAGGATAAAACTATGCTCTTGCTGTAGTGTTGTTCTCTGCATATAGAAATTCCACTTTCCATGACTGAATTTGAAGTCCCATAGGCTGTTTACGAGAAGAATTCCTACCCAGCCTCATATATTGAATTCAGGTGTAAAAATAAAGCATACATTTTTCACATTATGCCTGGTCATATGTGTCATTCCCAAGAAGTCTGGTGATTGTGTCTGCACCGATGTGACCGAGCAGTCGCTGCCAGTGGCCATGAACAGCTGTTCTTCACCACTCAGCTGCCTGCCAGCTTCCCTGTGAGCACTGTGTCCAGATGTTAGCCCACCACGGGAGCTTCACTGGGGCTAGAAAGCATTCATCCCATCTGAACCAAAGCAAAGTCTGTGCTTAAAGCAAAATCAAGGCCACCTCTGATGGACAGCACAGGTAATTGGGCAGCCCCCGCTTGAACACGAAGGGTTGAAGGCAGATAAATGTAATGGAAGTGGATTTAAGCAGTTTTAAGTTCTCCTCCCTCTGTCTCTCTGAAACACCTGCCTGGTCAGTCCACTGCCTACAGATAGCTACCAAATCCAAACAAACCCAGGTGAAATTAGACAGTTGACCTAAAACTCCTGGTTAGCTGAAATGAGTGAAACAGCACAGCCTAGTTAACAATCAGAGAAGCCCAAGGTGGAGAAAACCTCTTTGGATGCTCTGTCACAAAGATGCTTCAGGTTGGTTATGTGTGGAGACATGGAACTAAGTGGCCTGGATGCCTGAAGATCTGAAATTGCTCTTGTGCAGACACTGTTAAGGCTTACAAAACTGATTTCAACTCCACAGAGCCAGAAGTAGCTTCCGCTGTAAATTATATGCCTTTTTAGAATGAGGAGATTATCTGACACTTCACCATTTGGGAAAAAGAAAGTTGTCATCACAATCAGGCTAATAATCTTTTTATCATAGGATCTCCTTTGCATGGAAACAAGAAAAGGGAGACCACCTGTACTCCCACTGAGTTTTTGTTGCCTATGAAAAGGAATGTCAGGCTGATGAAGACATTGGCAGCTCAGCAGCTTCCTTGCCAGAACATAAATTCAAGTTCCTGTAGCAGCATCCTCCAATTCAGAAAGAAGCTGTAGAGCGCAGCTGGATCAATCAGAATTCATTGGCTGAGTTTAAAGGCTGGCTGGCTGAATTCAGTTAAGCAATTTCAGTAGCAACTTGGTGCTCTAGGCAGCTTTTACTTGCTTAGTTAACTCCACAAGGAAAGGAACTCTCGGTTTGGTTGTTTGGGATTTTTTTGCTGTGCCCAGTTGACTATTTTCTAATTAGTAATTGAACACCTAAGAAGAAAACTTACTCTACAAATTACCTTGACTATAAGCCATGGCTTTGTGTTCCCTATTAGGGGGTCTGTGAAGGTGCAAGTGAATCTCTATTCCCTTGCCTGATCAGCCTATTAACCTGAGTGTTTTTGGGAGCCAAACAAGCAAGCATCAGTGAATTCAGGAGAATATTAGAGGGCTCAGTTCTCTGCAGGGAGGGTAGAAATTTGCAAACTCTAAAGCTATTCAACCTCAAATGAATATCCTGCCTTGAAGTTGTGCAGCTGGCCATGCCTCTGAGGTAAGGGGTTCTTTGTAAACACGGTGTCTGCATACCCCATAGGTACTGCTGTCTCTTTACATTTTGATCTGTTTGAATTGTGTAGTGCCTTGCAGTCTGAACAACAAAATGACTGACTGTTCCCATCAGCCCATCACTCTGCTCCAGCTGTTTGCCTTAACCTGCAGCACACTGCTGGGCAAGATTCTCCAGCATAGTCAGTGTTTTCATTCATTCTTGATTTGTTTCCCAGGTACTCAATAACACCTGAGGAAAGCAGCAGGAGGAGTTTATTTTGGGACTAGGGGGAATTTCTGGGAGAAGAGAAAGCAATAAAGCACATTATTCATATTCTTCTCACACTACTTTCTTTTGTTAGACCATTTGTTAGTGAGCTGTAAGCAGTTACAGTCACTTATTCCCTGATTCTTTCCATTGCAAGACCTTGTTCTCTGCTAATTAGAACATAGCTGAAAGTTAAGCATTTAGCATGATTTATGCCCTCAGCAATTACTGCCCTCAGATGGATGATTTTACAGAGTTCAGCCAAAGCAGCTGCAATGTTTTCAACAAAGGCTTGATGAAAGAATGTCTGTCCACAATAACACCTTTCAGTGATTTTCTAATAGTTCTGTCTTCAAGGACCATTATTTGAAAACTTTAAGAAGTATGGCTATTATAAGAAAAGGGCATCTCTTACTGTTTCTATAAAGTAAGTGGTTCAGTACAGATAATTTAGCCACTAAAAATATCACAATCTATTACTGTGAAGTGTCTCCCTTCATTGGCTGTGTATGCCCTAGCTGGGACCACACTCACTCATCTTGTGCTGCTGCTGCGAGCCCTAGGGGTTCTAAAGGACCAGCCCTATGAATTATTCACTTCAGCAGCCCTCAGCTAGGATTAGGTTTGAAAACAGGGAGCCTTGGTTCTCATCTTCACTGCCAAATGGGCCAGTTTGCCTCCCCTTCATGGGCACCATGATGGAATGGAGGCAAGGACTGACTGGCTTCTGTAAGGGAGACAAATGCTGGGCTAGAAGAAATCAAAAAGACACTGGGGTTCTAACACTGGATCAAGTTGAGTGGAGTAAGTTGATCAGAAGGAGAGAGGTTGGTATGAGTAGGGAGCTGCAACATGGCTTCAGGAGTAATTTGAAGGGAAGGAAAGCAAAGGAACAAAATTTGAAAGAGGAACTTGGAGGCTGGAAACAAACTGGGACCAAACTGGTCACTGGGGGAGAGGAGGAAGAAGGTAAAACAGTTATGGGCATAATGTTCCAAGGTGGGTATGCAAGTCAAGCTTTGTGACTCATCTGCATCAGTAAATATCTAAAAACCTACTAGGAAAATGGCTATTCAATTATGATACTGTCCTCATACAAAATGACTGTATTAGTGCTGTCAGCCATTCCAGTAATGTGTCAGAAATCTGGGTATTGAATCACAGGTGCTCAAAGCTGTTGATTAACCAGATATTTCATGTCCCACATGACAGAATATCTGTATTTTTAATGTCTTTTGAAATCCAGGAGCTATCACAAAAAAGACAACCAATTTCAAACTGTGTGAGTGAAGCTGAAAGTCAAACAAACCAAACTGAGGAGCTGTTAGAATTAAGGCTGTCTTTGCAACCTCATTCACAGCTTCAGTCTGGCTTTTGATGTTGTTTTTCAGTATTTGAGTTCATGCTGCTTTCTAACACTTTGGCTTTGATGCTGCACATTTAGTGTTCTTTAAATGTGTGCTTTTTGTGTACATCTAGAGCTCATCCAGTCATTTCACTGTAAGCTTTCTTTTCTATCTTTTTTTTTTTTCTTGGTTTGTTGGGGTTTTTTTCTTCCTGGAACTTAGAGAGAAGAGGTTCTTAGAAGAATTTTGATGTTGAAACTTCCTGGTAACACAAATTCTGCTTCTCTATCCTTCCCTGTGCTGAGTGCTAGAATGGAAGAAGTGGACTGAAGGATTTTCCATTGAGCTTCTGCTTGTTTGTTTTTTGTTTTGTTTTTTTTCAAAAGTAGTTGTATAATTGTCCCAAGTGTTGTCATTGCTATCAGGAGAAGGAGCAGGCTGAAGTCAGGAAGTGCCTGCCTGACTGTGCAGTCTGCACCTTAATGAAGATAATTTGTGTTGACACATGGGCTGTCTGTAAATCCCATCTTCCCTGCAAAGGAGCCTAGGCTGGATGGAGTAGATCCCTGGGGCTGCTGAGAAGGGCATCACATGCCCTGCCCCTCCAACCTGCAGGATGTGCCTGCTCTGGAAGCTGGGAGATGGACATCTGTCTCTGGCTCTGTGCAGTGGCCTCCTCCAGCCAGCAGCTCACCTTGCACACCGGGAGAGCTTCACTGCAGCTTTAGGTCATTATACATTATATATTCTGCTGTGAGCTCCAGGAAGGTCCCTTTTCTTCAAACTCACACTTCCTTACTAACCCCGAGCCCACTGCCCAACCAGA